TTGCTTCTTGCCTGGCGACACGCTACCAATCGATGGCAACGTCGATCAACACTGCGATACAACGGGTTCAAGAAGCTGCAACTAGAGCATTCAAGTTTTTCAAGAATTACTAAAGTTTAAGATCGTCGTGATGCTATTTTGTTGATTTGCGAAATTGCAAAAAGAATTTATACAATTTCAGAATATTATATTATTGTTCACTCGTTAGAATCATTAGAAAAAGTGATACATGTCTACGTGGTTTCTATATTTTGTAATTAATGAAAACAATTTTGATTTTGCATAAAAACCCGCATTCTAGACACGATCACGATCGTCCTGCTTTTTGCCCGGATATTCCAACTAAGTTTGATATTGTAACTGTTCGTCCCATTCCTTAGGCACCATCAAGAAGCAAATCATCCTTAAGGGTGATAGAACGGGTTCAAGAAGCTGCAACCAGAGCATTTAAGTTTTTCAAGAATGACTAAAGTTTAAGATCGTCGTGATGCTATTTTGTTGATGACTAGACTGCGAGTTTCATGCATTTGTGACAAAAATGAATAGATCGAATTGCAAAAACATTTATACAATTTCAGAATATCATATTATTGTCCACTCGTTAGAATTATTAGGAAAAGTGATACATGTCTACGTGGTTTCTATATTTTGTAATTAATGAAAACAATTTTGATTTTGCATAAATGATCACGATCGTCCTGCTTTTTGCCCATGAAGCGATCAAAGTATAGACAACCGTTCCGGATATTCCAACTAAGTTTAATATTATAACTGTTCGTCCCATCCCTTAGGCACCACCAAGAAGCAAATCGTCCACCGCGCCCTTTATGGTCGACATAATTGCATCGATATAATTATTAGAAACGCAAACTTTTACAGAAGCAACATTAATTACTAATCGATGTTGCATCGACTAAATCATTAGTTCGCGTACGATTCTGTGCTCTAAAGGGTAATTGAGCGCGTTCGTTTAATAAAACAATGGAAGAAGGGGTCGAAAACATTTCTCCAGAAATTGCGGCCGAGGTTCGCGCCGTGAAGGGGAAATTCGAAGGTGCTTACGTTCGACGGTTCGGTAATCGGTTGGGAAATTAGCTCGGACTTCCATGCCGTTCTCGAATCACGCCGAGAGATCGGCAGATACGTACTTCCCATTACGCGTTTACGTAACACCGGCAAAGCAAAATGCGCGGTGAGACCGGAAGGCGAGAAACACACTCGGAGGGCCGATTAAGTTCGCATTAACGGGAGCCAGGTTTAGAAGCAGAAAGGTCAAGGATGCGTTATCGGGGGACCGTCCCTTAAGAGTTTTACGAGGTTCGCGATCCTATCTACTTCCGGACAAGGCTTAATGCCCAAGAGAGCCCTCCTGCTGAAATCGCAAAGGCGCCACTCCGGGAAGCTTCGTAACGCGTCGAGGAAATGTCGTCGCGCCGACGATCCCGCCGGCTAATCGCGACTGCTCGTTGGATTTACGAACGACCCGAGGATTACGTGCTGGATGGCCCTATTTCACGGATTATCGAGCGCGCGTGCAATTAACGCGTTCACCGTCGATATCGCGAAGTCGTGTGACGTGACTCCTCGCGGATCGAAACCAATTGACGCGCACGGTCCAGCCGAGTGCTGCATCGAAATTGTTCGAATGCGAGAAAGAAAGGTTATCTGGTTTACGTTGCAACGAAATGCATGTATTCTCGAAATGGAATAGGTACGAGCTAGTAAATATATATGTATAGAGAGAGAGAGAGAGAGGAAGAGATGAATCATGAGAACGTCTTTAAAAAGAGGTTTCCGCCGACTGCGAGATTACGGTGGTTTCTCACGGAGGGTGAAACCGAGTTCCCGGTATTCCCGAAAACCGAGCCAGGTACCGTGCAAGTTCTCACGATTTTCAGCGGCAGGTAGAAGCGACGCCGTCACCCTCGGGATTCGCAGGTGAAACCGAGAAATGACCCACTGGCCGGCGCCGAAGAAGACGAGGAGCTTTTCAAGTTTTTTCCGTCTCGAACGTTCTCTCGAGGTCCGCGAATAAAACGGAGACTGAGAGAACAGAGACAAGAAAGAAGGAGATAGAGTAGTAGAAGAAGAAGAAGAAGAAGGCAGAAATGCTTGGAAACGCGAAGAACAATAGAACGCGAGGCGCGCGCGCGGGACAAACGCGCTGTTGTAAACGCGGCCAACGGCGCGGCGACCAGACGATGAATACTTCGCGAAACAGCTGAATGAACAGCCCGAATCCCTTCCCACGTATCCCTGGAAATACCTTTTATCGCTGGAAGCATCGATTATCGGTGATATATCTCGTCGTGACGTCAGCCCAGCGGATTCGTAATGGAGCGTAGTCGAACGAACCGCGGGAAGCTACGACTCTTTTCTAAACAACTCATCGTTGACTAATCCCTAAACGCGTCGGGCGTGTTGCGGACGTTAGGGCATTCGTCGGTTAATGTTGCTATCGTCCTTGTCCCAATTAAACAAAGAAGAATGAAATTATTCGATTAGATCCCGTTCTTTCGGGGTCTCTTCCCCAAATAAACGGCACGATTAACCCTCAGACTCCGGTAACCGGGTTATTTAACATGTTAAACGTGCAACAGATTCATTTAATGATACAAATGGTCTCTGAGTATATTATAACATTTTATTGTAACATTATTATACATGTATGCACTTGTACATTCATTGCGTGTCTTTTATATTTCCCTGTTGTTCCTTTACTTTCCTATACTTTTGTCAAACGAATTCTACATGTAAACGATTCTCTACGAACAGACGTTTTATAATAATATCGTGCAACGTTTTTTACCACGGTGCTTAGAAGAAGAAAAAAGAAGAAGTAACAAGAAACATCTGTATGTTGTGTAAGAAAAGCTCCCGTAAAAAAATTGTCCGATCCGAGGGTTAAACGAGCGTGGCTCTAAGAATCAAGGATATCTCGGGTGTGACGTATTCGTTCACTAGCGCGGTCGCAATTGCCGTTGAAACATTCGTCGACGCTTGGCAACGGATGATAAATTTCGTAAAGATCGCCGGTGGTCCCCGTGTCGTCTGGTAAACCGAGCTCGCTCGTGAACGTATAAAGGATGCTCGAACTGCGAAAAGAATGTGTAGCCGAAAGGCTGAACAGCGGGGAAAGAGCGTAACCCGAAAAGTCGAGCGTAATCATCCCCGTGGGTAAGGTCCCGTGCGGGTCAAAGACAGGTGGGTGGAACGAGGAGAAGAGCGGGACGACAAAGCACACGGGGAGCGTTTCCCACGACAGGTGACACGTGGGAATCCTAGTCGCGGCGCAGGTGGATCAGGTTGGACGAGCGCAGGAGACGAGACGGTGGCGATGCAGGGGGGTGCTAGGGACGGGGACGGTATCGAGTAGGCGTTCCGAACGATCGACGAGGAAAGACGAACACACGGCGAAGAGAGAAAGAGGGGGCGAGAGAGAGAGAGGAGGGAGAGAGAGAATAAGGGTCGGCGGGGACCAACGATACTTGGCTGGGAACAAGTGGGGGCAAACGCGACCGAGAAACGGAGGAATCGGAGAGACGAGACGGGAACGGGACGAGTCGAAACGAGACGAGACGAGTGAGTCGAGACGAGACGACTGAGTCGAGTCGGCGATAAAGACGGTGACGGCCTTGAGGTATGTGGGACCATAACACACGGATGCACGACCAAAACGGATCGACGTCGTAACTACGTCGTGGCGGATTCTCCGATAAATGGTCCGAAACGGTCCGAATCGCTATCGGATGCGGCTAAATCGGTCCGTGAGATCGAGAGAATTTAGAAGCTCGTGAGATCGAGCATATCCGCTGCAGGAGCGATCGTTTCGTAGGTATAACTTCTGTTCGATAAGCTCCGTGTCCTCCTTCTAGGTAAGCAGGTAACGACGCAGAAGCGGCAAGATCGACAGAAACACGGACGGAAACTTCCTCCGTGGGTCTAACAATAGATAAAAGTCTTTCGAACGTTCCCGGAATCAGTCCCTAAATGGGGCAAGGTGATTCTTTTCGGACACTGCGACGACACCCTTTGTCCAGCGGACCCGAACCTCCCCCTACCGCTACCGCTAAATTCTCCGAAATTTTCTTGCCAGCTCGCGACAGACTTCGACGTAGGAACAGAAAAGAAACAGCGTAGACAATCGATGAAAGGAAGAACGAATTCGATTTGATGAGTTAATCGTTCATGGAGCAGAACGGGAAACAGAACAGAGAATAGAGAACAAAAGACAGAACGGAAAAGAGTTGCAGGAAACTGCTTCTCGAACAGCTCTTATGCATCTATTCGTGAGAAACCATTCCGACCCTTTTCCAGAACGTTTCTCGCTATGGATAACGATGAGCCGACCCAGAATGATATATATAATACATGTAACCCCCGGTTTCGCTCCGACAATTCGCTTCGGGAATTAGGAACAAATTTTCTATAGCTTTCGACGACACGAATGTCCAAGATATCGAAAGATTATTGGTAGGAGAAGTGATTGATCAAGCAAATTTGGTGGAAACGACAACTGCGATAAACCAAATTTATTCAAAAGACACGATTATCTTAATGTCTTGTACCTAATCCCATTGTTCGCATCAGTAGTCCTTTTTATTATTTATATAACACGGCATGTTTTGGGAACATAACCCAATGGTCATCCGCATCATGTGAGAGACACCCTGCACGATAATACAACGTTCTACGAACGAATGCCACCCCGAAGCAGTAAAAAGACGACTGTTCTTCGTTTGAACTGTTGCGCGATTAACATAGGCCAGTGGCCCGTAGCAATCTGCAAAGGGTTAATGGGTCCTCCCCTAACCGATGAGCAGGTTGACGGTGGCAGAAGACGGAGCGAGATAGAAAGCGAAAGGAAGATCTTGATCTCTCGGAGGAGCAAGAGTAAGAGGACTCGAAGGTGAGAGAAGAAGGCGGGTGGCGAGTGGCGAGTTGGCGAGTTGGCGAGTGGCGAGTGGCTCGTAGAACAAGATGAGGAGTGGACTACTCACTTGAGGAAGTAGATCTGTCCCTCGGGGGTGCGCGCCTGTTCCCATCCGTGCGGCAGGGGACCCAGGTCGTCGACCGTGCTGATGACGTCGTAGCTGCGTTGCTTCTGATGATGGTGGTGACGCGCGTGCGGCTGGGGCGCGTGCTGAGGCGCCTGCTGAGCGGACGCGTACGTCTGCTGCAGCGAGGCCGGGCTGCTGTGAGCGCGAGGATGAGCGACCGTGAGGCCGGCGGCGGCGGCTGCCGCGACCGCGGCCGCGGCCGCACCTGCGGCGTTCGTCCCGGTGCCGGCGCCGTTTCCGCTGGCAGGTTGGCCCGAGGCCGACCCGGTGCCCTGCGTGCCGGTCCCAGCGGCGTTTCCGCCGGCCCCCGGCCCCGCGCCGCCGCTCGCCGCTGTCCCGAAAGCAGAGTCCGCCGAATTCTCCCGGGAATGCGAGATCGAGGGGCTCTTGCTGCCCGTCGACGGCGGATTGAAGAAGGAATCCGGCAGATTGCGCATGCGTAACGGCACTTGGAGCGGACGCTTCGAGGCTTCAGGCTTCAGGACGCTGTCGAACAACGCCTGCAGATCCGACTCCGAGTTCTGGTCCATCCTCACCACGAGATTGCTCTTCGACAACTGGTCCACGTCCTGGTTCAGCGCCATTTTGGATCACGCAGCTCGAGCAGCTCTCCCAGCTCGCAGATCTAACGCGGTTACCTCGCGTGCCTGTCTCTCCTTCCTTCCCTCCCTCGTGTCCTGTTCTACCACTGGGCTACCTTTCGTTTCTTCTCTTTATTGCTCTCTCTCTCTCTCTCTCTCTCCCTCCTTCTCTCTTTCTCTATCTATCTTCCTCTTTCTTTCTTTCTTTCTCTTCTAGCTATCTATCTATCTCTTGTCCCTTTCCGTCTCGTTCCGTTCCTGTCGTACTCTTTCGCGCGAGCCTGTTCTTGCCTCGACACAACCGTTCCTCTCTCTCTCTCTTTCTCTATCTCTCTCTCGCTCTTTCGTTCGTTCTCCTTCTGTCTATCTCGCTTTATTTCTTTCCCCGATTGGATAGCCGTCTTTCTGTCTTTCTTTCCTTCTTTCTACCTTTTAGGTTCGCCTCGCGTTTCCTCGAGCTGTCTTCTTTTACGGGTATGTACACCTATGCCAGCGCGTTCCTCCACACGACGGAACAAGCAGTCCTCTTCTCTAGTCGTACACACACCGTCTCGCTCGCCTCCGTCACTCCTCTCTCGGATCGCTCGACGAACGCGATATCTTCCTCTCTGTTCCACCTGTGCGTTTCACGCGAGACAACAAAACAAGCAGGACAATGCCGCCGCCGCCGTCGCCGCTCCGTTTCGTCGTCGTTTCGGATCCACCGGAGACTCCCCCGTTTTGTTCCGTTCGCCTTTCGGCTGTTGACGGTGCGTACCCTCCGATATCCCACGACGGGCAACGACGTCTCTCCTCCACCGTTCCTACCGCGATATCGCGCACCGAGAGAAATCGACTCGTTTTGCTAGCCGGCCGTCTAGCAAACGAGTGCTAGCGTTCACCGTGCGTGGACACGCGATTACGTATAGCGCCTAGAAACTCCCGTGCGTTCGACCGATGTACCGAACACCATCGCCGTCCGGTGGCCGTGCCTTCTACTAAAGCGCGACAGCGGAAGATTCGAATTCACGAATCGCGCTTGCGAAATCAACGATCGATCCTTCAACGTATGCGAAATAATTCAATGATGCGGTAACGCGAGAATTATCGACGAACATTTGTGTAATTTTCTTCGAAAAATATTAAAAGTTACATCCTGAGATTAGAATTTCGAAGGTCGAAACAATTTCCAAAGATTCATCATCGTTCCTAGCTGTTTTTCTTAGGTAACGATTATGGTCTGATATTTCGAAGCTTAATAAAAACGACATTGTCGTTCCTGAATTATTTCAAGAAATCGACGAACTAACATTTCAGTTTAAACTGTTTGTGTTTGAGTTTACTCTGTTTATTTGAGATACTATTGTTTAGGTAACATCGGAGATAAGTTATTAACCTGTTATTAAACTGTTCTTTGTTATTTTTTACCTTTTATCCACTAGCTGGTGTCGAAAGATTATAGTTTCCGAGTTATTTTAGCTTCATTGTGGAGGAATAGTTCCTTAGGCAATGTGTAATTTTTCTTGACACTTTTGTTACTCCACTGCGATAAAGGCGTATGGTTTAAGTTTAAAGTACAGTTTACAAGATTGAGGAAATCTGGGTTCTATCTTGATTGGTCAATGATCGACTGGACTGCTTTGAAAATATGAACTTCTTGTGTGTGGACACGTATGCTCTCGCTAATTTTTTTCGAGTATCGGTCGAAATAGAAATTCGTGTCTATTTTTGAAGGCTCTATTTCCGTTTACCTTGCTTATCGTGACAAAAATTTAAATGGCTATCGTGTCACGCACACGTTAATCCACCTATCGAACCAAAAGTGAAACACTCCTGTCGCCATCGGAGAGCTCGTTTTTAGCTTTGCCATCTACCACTGCACCAGATGGTCGATGGTTTTCGATATTTCGGTTGTGTGGTTACTTTAATTTATTGACAAAAATGTAACACTTCTATTTTAAATTGACCATGTTTTCGCAACCGGAATGATATCTGTTTTATCCAAGTTAAGTTATTTGTGTAAATATTGAAGGTGTTTTTATTCAAGTAGGAACCTCGTTCGCACGAGAAAGCGAAAATGTCTTCGAAGAGGTATTTAATTGTTTTTACTTCGTGTTTTTCAAACTGGCAGAACATCGCCAACTCACCGATGGAAGTTATTTGTAGCTAGAAGGAGCCGACCCCACGATCCGTAGCACATTTCTCTTATTCGACGAAACAATCGCACTGTATTGATTCTTTGTTTCTTTGTTAACCTGCATTGTCAATACCGTTGCATTAATTATTGAATTTCTAATAACCTTCATTTTTTTTTTTCAACAAATTTGAACATCGTTCAGTCCTGAGAGCCTTTCGAATTCTGTTTAATGTGATTCGAATCTTCTACTTGGTACACTCAATTCTCTATGCTAATGGAAATCAAAACATGATTTTGTAGCATGGAGTTAGATATAAAAGTACATTTTATAATCTAAGAATTATTATATAAAAATATGAAAATTATGCATATATATGTATACATATTATCCAATCAGGTATATTGATTTATGTTGGACTCAAAATTCCATGCAATCTATTTTTAGTGAATTAAAAAAGTTGTCAGAAGAAAGCTTAACAAGACAACCAGAAGAGGTGTTCGACATAATATGCAAGTTAGGAGAGGGGTAAGTTGTCAATCATGAAAGAAAAATATTACATTGATGTCCATTAAGCTAATGTTTCATATGTAGGTCCTATGGATCGGTTTATAAAGCATTGCACAAAGAAAGTGGACAGGTACTTGCCATTAAACAAGTGCCTGTCGATACAGACTTGCAAGAAATTATAAAAGAAATTTCTATTATGCAACAGTGTGATTCTCCATATGTTGTTAAATATTATGGAAGCTACTTTAAAAACACTGATTTATGGGTAACTTAAAGCATTGCTATGTTAACAAAAACTATTACATCGAACTAACGTTTGCTTGCACTTATAAGGGTACAATTTCACAGATCGTCATGGAATATTGCGGAGCAGGATCTGTTAGCGACATCATGAGGTTAAGGAAGAAGACCCTACAAGAAGATGAGATAGCAACAATTCTCAGTGATACCTTGAAGGGCTTGGAGTATCTTCACCTGAGAAGAAAAATACATAGAGACATTAAAGCAGGAAATATCTTGCTTAATAACGAAGGGCATGCAAAATTAGCAGATTTCGGTGTAGCAGGACAGCTAACTGTAAGCATTATTGCCTTAACAATAACTTTTTAACGAGCAAGAAAGCAATCGTGGACCCTTCTTCCAGGATACAATGGCAAAACGTAACACAGTAATAGGAACTCCGTTTTGGATGGCTCCGGAAGTGATTCAAGAAATTGGATACGATTGCGTCGCGGATATATGGTCACTTGGTATAACTGCATTAGAAATGGCAGAGGGAAAGCCACCTTACGGTGACATACATCCAATGAGAGCGATATTTATGATACCAACTAAACCTCCACCTAGCTTTAGAGAACCTGACCAGTGGAGTCCTGAATTTATCGATTTTGTCAGCGGGTGCCTTGTTAAAAATCCAGAAGAAAGATCTACAGCTACCGAGCTTTTGCATCATGAATTTATAGGTAATGCCAAACAACCCAGTATTCTAAGTCAAATGATTGCTGAAGCTCACGAAATACGAGAGAAACAGAGCGTGCATCGTGCTCACGTAATCAATAACGTTGCAATAAAGAACCAAAACCAGACAGAAGATTCGGTACTTATCTGCATTTACGTTTATTGCATACGACCATAAATATGCATCGATACCCTTAATAAAATTTTCATTCTTCTAGGATGAAGAAGATTGTAGCGGAACAATGAAACCTTTACCAGAGGATACAGGAACTTTAGTACCAAGTCATGATCTTCCAGACACAGGAACACTTGTTTCTGCAATGTTGGACTTGGGAACAATGGTTATCAATAGTGACACGGATACTGAAGCAACTATGAAGCGTTAGTGAAACTAACGTTTTTCTTTCAATGCATTTCGATGTAAATGACTAAAACGTAATGCAATTTCCTTGCAGGTCACAATACAGGGTCAGTTGAATCCGGTAAGAAGTACCGGCCATTATTTTTAGACCATTTTGATAAGAAGGAGGCACCTGAAATAGGGAAGGTAAGATAAGTATGTATATATTGTTTTGGTGTTTGATACACATTTCAAAAAATATTCTTTTGATTAATTACCAGGGTAATGGGCAAATCCTCGGAGCGCATAATCCAGACAATGAAAGTAAATTAGAACTACGAAGCCCTTCAGAATCTCAAAGGTTTCAAAGCCATCTACAGTTACAACTTAATCAGATCTCTCATCCTGTGCAAGAACAACCTCATAATAACATATCGAAATTTCAAAATGTCTTCACGGAACGCGATTTCGACTTCGTAAGTAACGAACTCTTACAAATTTTAAAACAGTATAAGATACGAATAATTTAAAATGGTTTCTACCGGTCGCGCAATTTCTTTTTAACTTAAAATCGATTGATGTAGTGCCACTTTAGGCATCATGTAAAAGAAACTTGAATATAGATAAACAACCATCTCCTGCAGCTGAAGTTTCTCTCATACGAGGAACTACAGCAACGAATGGCTAATTTGGACGCAGAAATGGAGCGGGAAATCGACGAGCTAAGAAGAAGGTACCAAACCAAGAGACAACCGATTCTTGACGCTATGGACACCAAACGGAAACGTCAACAAAACTTCTAACAGTTCGATTACTTTTTCTATGCGGATAGGTGTGATGACGATAGATAAAGGGTGTACAGTTGTATAAATGAATAGATTTTATTCATCTCGTCCTGACTTTCATCAAAGAGAAGAACATTGCTCAATGAAATTGTTTACCTAACGGAAAGAGTAATAGCGATTTAAAGTATTTTCTTCTCTTACGAAGTCAATGTCTTCCTCTTTGTGAATCAGACACGAGTAACTAATACTAGCCAATAGCCTCACGTCATCAATGTAAATTATTTTACATTATTTAGGTGAACGATCATTATACTTAATTTTTTACAATTACGTTTACTTACATTCCCGGACAAAAAGATAGCACGAGTATGCTATCTTTTTGATCGGGGATGTATACACTGTGAAATATGGTATTACAGAAATATTATTTAATAGTCTCATCAGCATTCTTCACAAATCGAAGCCGAAACATAGAAATCGAATGTAATGAGAATGGAAGAATAATTCGAATTCCATGCTTGCATTTTCTTTTCTTTTCTCTTCTCGTTTCGTTGAGAAAAATCGTAGAGGTGCCGACATAAAATTGATATTTGGTTTTTATCTTAAGCTAGTCACCTATTATGCCATTTATTCTATCCATAATATTTTACATCAACAAATATTATCACCCATACGAAATACAAGGACGGAGTTATCATCCCGAAAATATATTTATAGACTTTTGCGCTAACATATCGTTTACGTGCGAAATAATTTCCAATAAGTAAGCAAGCTTTAGAAGGTATTAAAGTTTTTACTCCTTTTTTACTGCCATAGATATTATTGCGCGTTTACCTACAGATATTAACATTAGGTTACGAGATATACGTTCTTATGTCGGTTGACTTAGTTTGAAGATTTTGTAAGAGATCGCGAATTGTTTGGTAGTGTTTTATACCATGCAAGATTACAAATAAAAGTGAGAGCATCTTGAAGTTAAATATATATGACGAATGAACTTACTAAAATTAGTCTTCCGTATTAGAATGTATTTCAATATTTCGCTAATTCGTTAAGCCAGTATTTAAATTGTTGAGAATAATCATCATGAAGCAATGGCAAGATTTATAATATTTTTAGATTCATATAAATGTGTATTTTATTGAAACCTATTCATTTTTTAATTATTTTTATATTTGAAATTTGCAAATGCGTTATCATTCTACTTAAAAATGTCAATGAATATTAGTATGCACAATATTGTACCAGAAATACAATGACGTACGTGTGCTCATGCATCTGACAATGCTTCAACATAAGTGGAGTAATTCTTTGCTGACGTTGGGCTATTTTAAAAGTAGCGGAAATAGATTTATAATACTTAAAAGCTATAGCCAGAACTGACCTTTCTGTTTATTTAGAAAGTAACAATACAGAATTACAACATATTTTTGATATAGAAAATATGCACATTACAATCGAAGAAGATTCGAATATTAATGATTAAATCCAGTCTTTATATGGCCCTACCATGGTACACAATATTATCATAATAATAGCGTTGGGTTCCACTGTTAATATGAAGAGCAGATAAAATAAGTTACAATCTAAAAAGTAATATTTCTACTGTTTGATGAAAAGTAGAACGCACCATTCACTGCGATATGCGACTTCATCAACATATATGCGTTAATAATGTAACAGAAACGAATAAATTTTATTCCTGCAAACATAAGCATTCGATGAAACATAAATACATTTAACCACCCAGTCGCTAACACGATGTGGTCTCGCACCATTATAAAACATCGTCGTGGGGATCCAATCTTTCTTATTTGGTTTCAGTAATAAAATATTGTACACTACGATTTCATTTGTTTTAAATTATTTAATTAATTCTTCCATTACATATTTCCATTGTTTTCTCAGATCTGACATAAGTACATCGTGTAAACAATTATAGTTCTCTCATAACTTATTCGTTTTCTATGAACATACATCTCGTATTCACACTTATGACATTAGAAAGGATTAAATAATTATTGAATTTAATTATAATAATTCTCTCTACTAAAATTAATGACAAAGCAAGCGTACATTGAGCATAATTGTTACAATATCGATATATAAGTAAAAAGTTCAATTTTTGTTTACATTTCGTATGAAAGTTTTATAAATTTACAAGTTTATCTTATCAAAAATATAATAATGTCTTCTCGGAAGCTCAGTCGTTTTGAAAAACTATACATATACAGAAGGCATACATTGTTTCTTACGTTTATAAATCGTCATCGCCGATCATGTGAAATGCGTTGTTTTCCATACCACATTCCGATACATATTTCCTTTGAATTGCATTATTTACACCACCTCTAACATCCACAGATCTTTTTATTCTTACTGCCGACAATCTATCAGCTAATTTCTTCATTATCGGTTCGGATTTAGTATCTTGACTCTGAAACAATATTACCACATAAATGCGGGATGTACTTTCTGACTTATGTATTTGAAATATCTTATTTATTATAAATATATACGCACCTTCCTATTTTCATCAGCTTGCTCACCAGAACTTGATCCTATTACAATTGTTTGTCCGTCTCTCATAACATATGTCCATGATTTTCCAGGTACCTCCTATAAATGACTTTCCAAAATTAAATTTTATTTTGCGTTAACAGTGGTACATGATAATGTACCGTGATAGTATGCGTATATAATAATGCTTTATTAACCTGAATACGACTACCACCAGCATGTTTTAGCAATAATTCATCGATCATGGCTTGTAAACATACAGACATTAAAATAGCTTGTTCCGAAGTGATAGTAATCCATTGTAATTGATTTTTAGCTACCAAATATTCGAAAGATAATTCTAAACTTAAATCATCATTGTCCTCGGATCTCTCGAGCCCCTAAAATTCAGTTGAGATCAGTAAATTTATACGGCAATTTTTACATAAATGTTTCTATAATAACTCACATTCTGTACAGTGGTTATTCGCCAACAACGCATTTGAGAAACATTAAAGACTTCTTCGCGCTGTTCTTCGTCAGATAATATGCGCAAATTTAATTCATTCCTACCTATAGCAACTAATACTTTTGAATCTGATTGAGGATAATCACAAAAGCATGGAGCAAACTGAATATAACCATAATATTTTAAAGTACGCACTACATCCAGGTACTACAATAAAAGTAATGAAAAATAAATCACTTAATAGAGATATATAAGAATCATGAGAAACAATAAGTCTCTATGATATACACATTGATATAAGAGACAGTAGATGGGCTCCTATGTTCATCTTACATTATGTACTGAAACTTACTTCCTTCTTTTTTCCTTGATTGTGTAAAGTAATCAAATAATCTTTCAATTCATCTTTAGCTATAACCCATCCTCTTTGAACCTCTGATACAGCTTGAACATAAAGCAGTTTCATAGCTGCTGCATTGTTCATCAATTCAAGATCATATGCTACATCCCAGTAATTTTTTCCAAGTACAATCTTCCTACCTATGTTATGCATATGTTTATTCGTGATAAAAGGAGATTCAAAATTCTGTAACTTGCGTAACACTAAAAGAATAAATTAAATTCAGAATTAGAAACTGTAAATAATGTTAATGCACTAAGAACTTCTGCTAAATTATACTTACAATAAACACTGTTACTGTCATTCTGTGCAACAATAAACAAGGCAAAATAGGGATAATATTCTTCTGGCAATTTAAGATGCTTATAAACTTTCTATCGAAGAAAACAATTCACTCAAATTTTGATCAGATACATTTACACAATCATTATTTATTTTATATTCCTTACCTTTAAAACAACTCCGGTATGGTCACCCAATGAAACATTCACTATTATTTTGCATCCATTCATTAGGAAAATATCTATACTCTCATTATCAGAAAATCCACCTATAGTTTCATGCTGAGCATTTAGTAAGAATGCATTTAACATTCCTGAATTATTAATAAGTTCATTCTGTCCAATAGATTGAATGTATTTTTCTAAAGATAAGCGACGTTCTTCTTGTTGATTTGTTGTTAAAGGAAAGAATTTTTTCGGTGGAAATGATGGTAAAGATATGTCCAAGTCCTTGGCCAACTGTTCGTGAAAATTATGCAACTGTTTATACCTGACAGTACAGTGGAACAATCCATTTATATGGATATTATACCCCTAAAAATTTAAATTAAACAAATTTAATAAACATCATGAAATTCCAATATATGTACATGTTATAAAAAAAAATTAATTACCACATATGTATTGCCAGTAGTATCAATAAATTCTTGTGTATCTGGTATAGAGAAATGCATTTTTATACAATAAAATTATGTATACAGTATTGCAATCAATTGATCTGGTATGTAAAATATGTACAGAAATATAGCCCAAAATGTACAAAAATATTCATACAAAGATGTTGTCATTTTCTTTTTATTAAAAGGCAATTGTATTTACAAACGTATGTGCATACAGCTCCAAGAAAAATCGCTCCATCTAAAAATTAGAATAACAAAAGTTTATAAATATGACAAATAAATAAAAGGTGAAATGTCTGTAAATGTCAAATGTTTCGAAGGACTTGATCGTCTTTGCCTTAAAAAAAATCAAATTGATTAATCACATTAGGTAAATATAATTTATCATCGGGTTTTTGCTATAATTATCGAAATATATGGAATATTTACTTACGTATGGCTGGTTTCTTTTCCCTCACGGTAGGCGTATACGTTTTACACCCACTCAGCAACTATATTTCACAAGCGATTAACGGTGACACATTTTTTAGTGCTTACATTAATAGAAATACTCATCCACGTAAACAAATGCAAGTTTTCAGAAATGAAATTCTTCGTATGATTATACATGTATGAATCTCAATGATTCGTGTTTTACAGTTAACAATTTATAATGCAATCATATGGCATGTGTTCTTCCATTTTTACCGTACAATTCTATTTTTTCATTTTTGAATACATTTAATTTTCTCTTATCTACGACATTTCGTTTTGTAATATTGTGGGCGCCACGGCGCTCGCTTTAACAGATGCTATTTTTAAATATCAGGTAATACTAGATCCGATACTCGATTGTAAATTTTTAAATGTTAATGCCTTTTTTATTGCGACGAATGAAAATGTTAAGGCGGATGTATGTGATTAGCATATACTCACATTAAATCTATTTAACGTTTTATTAAATCGCTGCGCATATTTTATTCTTCCTATATAGGATAAAAATTTCCCGAAATTACTAAATTATCGAGGAGACTGTTCTCGGGTACAAATGTTTATATTTTATAGAATCCACTGTATCCGTAGAGTATGATAACACAACATTAAAAATGTTTAAATACGTTTAACAATTTATTTTGCGATTTAATATTAATAAATGTGACAATATGTTTGTGAACTATTTTATCCTTTAATGTGTATGCATAACTACTTCCGGTTACTCTCGAACGATATGTATCGATTCGTGCAGAAGACAAATCGCAAACGAGAAAGGTTTCTTTCCGACAGAACGCTTACGGTGAAACGTCAAGTATGTTAGGCTTCTTATAATATCCATTTTAATCCAAGCTATATAGAAATATTGTGAGAAAGTAGGAGGTTTGTTAGATTCTTTAATTTTCGCTAAATCAAAGAACTTTCGTATGATTTATATTTTTCGTTGTAATTCCTGTTGAACATTATTTACATGCACCTAACCAAACAAAATATCCACATCGTACATGATGTATACAAGTTTATGATTTGGTTTGTCGGTATTTTACTGTACACTTAAACAAAAACATTATATAAAACAGCATAAAGACAAACATCAAAATTTTTTTCATGAAAAATTAATTTCAATATTTTGCATAATCTGTCAACGTAGTTGATACACTTGTTAAATTTAGAAGAACTAGTATATTTCTACTTTTAATAGATTTTCTTATTTAATAAATTGTCTTTTTATTATGCATTAATCATCTACTGGTGTTTTATAAATTTACAGAAATAAATATAACCTCCTATTTTCTATCTTAAACAATTCAAAATAAATGTGTGCGTGTGTGTGTATGTTTTTAAAATACTGCTTATTTTCAGCATGTTGATGCCAAAAAAGAATCGTGTAGCGATTTATGAATACCTCTTCAAGGAGGGTGTTATGGTAGCAAAGAAAGATTACCATGCACCAAAACACCCAGAATTGGAGTCAATTCCTAATCTCCAAGTTATTAAAGCAATGCAGGTAATATTTACATCTAATTGAACTTGTTGATTCATTGTTATTTAATTGTGTATTACCTTAACAAAACTAGATTTTCCTATGTGTAATTTTGGATATGCGACCGCAAAGTTAAAAAGATTTCTCATAAATTTATGTTTGTAGTCTTTGAAATCCAGAGGATACGTCAAAGAACAGTTTGCGTGGAGACATTTTTACTGGTACCTCACAAATGAAGGCATCGAATATCTGCGTGGATATTTGCATTTACCTCCTGAAATTGTACCATCCACGTTGAAGAGACAAGCTAGGCCAGAAGCATCAAGACCACGACCCGCAGCAGCCACAAGAAGCGAAGCATCTAGGCCAACAGAAGATCGTGCTGGATATAGGAGAGGACCTGGAGGTCCAGGTAGCGCAGGTGACAAAAAGGCTGATGTGGGAGCGGGTACTGGTGACGTTGAATTCCGTGGCGGTTTTGGACGTGGTAAACCACAATAATATTTTAATGTAAAATAAATAAATCTTTCGTAATCAAACAGTATTATTATTTCAGTCATCCTCGTTACATTAACAAGTCTCGAAAACAATGAAGCATGAAAGCTAAGCCTTTCACTTATTTTCTATTACATTACAAAAATGTATGTTCACTTACAATTTGATAGTCGTTAAATACGTAAAATCTCGAGTGGAAGCAAACAGTAGGCAATTGAATGTTTTATAGCTATGAGGTAGAGATACTGAAAGGTTTCTGTTGGTAAATTGAAGTATTTTTTAAAAGACATATCCATGAAACTGGAAGCATCACAGATACATAATTGTGCTAAAGCAGAAACTCTAGATGAAATCTCAATCTCTTTATTTCATTAACAAAGTGAAACTAAATTTTGTTCCAGTTTATTTCATACTTTTCTGTATCTGTAGATAAGAGATTTCACTTTTGCAATTTTAAAAACCTTGGAAGCACACTATCTTAGTATTCTACTGTTTATCGATTGCTCTGGAAAAGGCAATGTTTAGTTACATTTCGATGTTTACTATATTTTTGATGCTAAATAAATTATATTCTATAAATAAATCAAAATTCTATACATAACATTTCTAATGTAATACATATTAGAATGAAATATGTAAAATTCATGCCTTAGCACAATATTCATTTCTATTGCTTGTTA